AATCCATGATTTTTCGGTGTTTAACGCAATAGATAGCATTAAGTATGAAAGATAATAGGATGTAAGATAGTAAGAAAGGAAAAGTTCGTCGTCCTCTTTTCCGGGGGCTGGGACATATATGTCCCGCACGCTCAATACTTTAAATGTGTCTCAAGAAATTTCAGTAAACTATGAAGATTTAAAATTTACTCCTCAATATGGATTAGGAAGTGCAATACCCTGTCGATTTGTTTTTCTCTTCCTTTCAGTTAAAATAAGTGACTAAATGGCCAAAGTACATTCGAAATTGGCCTCTTTAGCCCACGAGAAAAGGTTAAGGAAAGAAATTGTTCAAAATACATGACCAAGATAAAAAAACGGAATGCTTCGAAACTTGGTATTCAAATTGATAGTTCGAATGGAAGGTAAGAACTTTAATATGAAAAGAAAATATATGAAGTCAATGAACAGTTGCGTAACTAAAATGCTCAGTGTCAACTGTAAGCAAAACAATTAATTCTGATTTGAATCGTAAAAAAACGGGGGATGTAATGTGCATCATCTTACTCCAAGACATATCGCCAGAATAGAACGCGCTGCAGAATTCTCTATGAGAAACCAATATTCGGATCAGAATGGAAAAAATGTTATCACAACAGATGAATCTTGGATATATTTAAAGGAGCACAATAAAATACATCGATTTATCAATATCAAATAGAAGAAAATAACATGCTTCAAAGAATCTAAAGAAATACTTGAATGGGATTTATGATTGTTGCTGGTTTTTGATATAACGAAAAATAAAAATTAGAGAGAGTAGGGAAAACTCTTAAGGTTAATTCCACATATTATCAGAAACATATTTTGTACCACATTTTCAAATATTATGTATCTTCTCTTTATCCACAGTGTCATCAATCAGTAGAACTGCAAGACAACACACGTAGTCGCAAGTCAAAATCCACTGTTAATTTCCTAGAAAAAAATGAAACAAGAAACGTGTATCAAGGACAAACCATTTCACTCATATTTCCTACTAAACCTCTTGATGTACCATCCCCTAATTTGTGCGCTTTCGGACTTCTAAATAGCGCATTGTCCAAACATCGATTTACAACCCTCCTCGGACGTTGCAAAGCTGTTCAAGGGGGAATGGAATAAAATACTTCTTTCGATAATAAAAATGTCTTTAATGTCTTTCAAATTACAGTGTAGAAAGAAAGTGTAGAGTAAAGGTTATGAAAGGCAACATTTAAAACACAAAAATTTTAGGTAGAATGCTTGTATAAATACAATGAATATCGTTCAAACACAAATTAAGTTCAATGCTCACTAAATGCTGAAAATTTATTTAGTTGTCCACAAATTTCGTTAACTAAAAATGATTAACCTTTATTATTATTCTATTCGTAAAAGTAATATTTGGTGACATTTTGAAAAATTTTTGCTTGCAGCTTATTAAGAAAAATAATTTAAATAAGCATATAAAAACAAAAAATACAATCATCATAGGAGTATATCAAATGATAATGCATATGGTTTATATGTTTCATTTCTGTTTCTTATGGTTTATATCACATTTAATTATTCACATTATTAGATTGAGATAGGCTCCCATATCGTTAATTGGTCCTCGCGCAGTATCCTTGTGGAAACAAAGGTTGATGCTACGAGTGTTGGTCCGATTTGGCACCAGTGGGGCCCAGGAAAGAAGAGTGAAGTACCCGCAAGGAGTCTGAATGCTGAGAGTGCACTTAATAATTGCTTGTTGACTGCCGTGTACGTTCGTAATCGTGACGTAAGATTTGTGCTGAATGACGAATAAGATCAGTGCTGTTTCAGGGATGAAACTCGCTTCTGCAGCGTATATAATGATCAGCGTGTGAAATTGTAGAAGCCGCGTGAACTCTGCCATTTTTGAGCGATGCATTAAACGTCAGTGTGAAGTAATGAAATAATGGTTTGCGGTGCCCTTAGACATAACAGCCGTCAACGTTCAGTTCGCATAATAAGGTATTTTACTAAGAAGACTCTATGCTGACGAAGTGCTGAAGGCCAATTTTCAAGGCATACTGAATATCATTTTTCCATTTTTCGACAAGATAATATCCGCTTGTACACTGCTCGGCTAAGTGAATGAATTGCAGATTGCTGAAACTTTCCTGTAGCTTGATTACTCAGTTTGTCACAAATTAAACACATGTAGGAGTGGCTGTTGAATTGCTCCACTCTGTCACATACGTAATAGTAACTGTAACATTAAATATATAATTGTAACTTTAATATATGTAACTGTAATTGTAGCATGGAACGATAGTTAATGGTGTAGAATAAACGCTGTTTAGCTGACCTTAGTGTAATCATTATTTCCTATTAACAGTAGCTAATAGTGAAACATGGCTCAGTTAATAAAAGAACAATTTTTAAGAAATACGAAATTGACATTTGTGAACAACCATGATTATATCAACAGCGTAGATATCTGAATGGAAGTCATTTAAATCGAAAACCAAAAATCTCGTCTTTGATATGGACGTTGCTTAGTTTCATTTGGAGTGGCTAAACGTACGTATGTATAGAACTATCTAAAGACTTCAATTAAATATGGATGGATTAGGACATCCAAACAATGTTAAGTTTCCGAAGCTGCGTAAATGAAAATGGGAAGGTGCAGAAACAAAAATTCCAGATTTTCATATTCGTAAATCTGGGAAACCAATTAGTATGACACTAAAGTAGCTGTTTATTGCATGTTATTTGTGAAGAAGAGCATTGAAAAGTTTGATATATTTGACTTAAAGGAAGAATATATAAAAATACGTTGGCAAAGTAGTTGGAGTTTATTAAATTACTGTATATCGAAAGCAAATTAATGTGTTGCCAGGTATATATTTTACTCCTGAAAGTAGCATGAGGTGAATCCCTTGATGATTTCTTAATACATTTAGAGAAATTAAGATGTAAATTTGTATTAGTTGTGTTAAAATGTAGTTTAATAAGGGACAGTATAGTGAGTTGTATTTTAAATGATAATCCTAAGGATACCAAATTTTATATTTCATATAGAAAATAAACGCAGTTTCAAATTTTTCTCTTTGCGATATTTATGTTTAAGTAAGTTTTGATAAATATTTAGTGAACAACATTTTAAATTTATTTAACATTTTTTATTTTGCTTATGCAATTTTTCATTTTATTAAAAAGATATTCTCGCCTTTCAGCCCTTTCCAGATCGTACATACGGCCCGCATGCAGTTTGAGTTTCAGAACACTGCCCTAAACTAATGTTTAGAGTAAGAAACATGTTTGACTAATACAATACTTAAGAGACTTTTGTATACAATTTATGAATAAATGGATGCATGGCCTAGCTGAAGATTGAAATATGAATCTATGTTTAGTTACGGTAATAGCAATAACAGGTAAAAATTAATTTTAATAACTTTGAATTCCTTTCTGTTAGCTCCATGTAACAGTATTAGTATTAGGTCTCAAATAAGGTTTATGGAGGTTTCCTAGTTCAGTCCGAAAGAAAAAAAATCTCATAATTATAAAACAAATATTTATTTCGATACATTGATTGCCTTAGTCTATCAGGAGCACAATAGTAAGAAGATTGAAATCTCCTTACTTAGTGGCATCTTATGTTATGTAAGCGCAACTTCCGAAATCCATGAAAACCCAAGTTTCTCCGCATTAGAATGGTTGCTAATTAGAATATAGCTTTTTCTGAGCCACTAAGCACAGAATGTGACGTCATCTGGCACAAACTGCTGCATATATATTTTTCATGTTCTTGACAGCCTGTTTTTTTAATATTGAAGCTATAGTGCTATGGTAAATTTATACAAATTAAAATTATTGCAGCGATATTTAGCAAAAGGAGTTTATCCCTCCATTATTAAAAAAATGAATTCATTCAGTATCAGCTGACGAAATTTTAAATTTCTACAACTTTGTAAGCAATATTTTATTATTTTGGTTTCAGCTTCTAAGTTAACGTATCGATTCAGTTAATCTAACAGTTAAAAGTGCTTACGCAAATCATAATTTAAAATTTTATGTTTACATTTGCAGTTTTATTAAAGTAAAAACTTAACCATTCACAAATATGAAAGAGTAAGTGTTAAAACATTAACGATACATTATTCTACTAAGTACTGATTTCTAGGACTAAAACAATCAGCATTAGGATAAGAAACAAAAACGGAATAGATGTGTGAGGATTTACTTTTTAGTTTGATTGAGGGAGAAAGAAGTGTTATTTTAAGCGCAGGTTTCGCAAGTTGGTTTTAGAACACATTCTGCCTACTTGAGGCCATGTTGTTACCGTGACTAAACAGCGATTTAATTCTGTAGTGATGAGTGCTTCTAGCCATTGGGCTTGTCTCGCCGGTTTTCTACAAACCAGAGCCTTCCCGCGCATTACTTTATCTTGCTAACCTTAGGTTAATTTAACTACATTTAATTATAGTTAAATATTACTTGTGTTAAATTAAGCCAGAAGTGCTGGCTTGTGTAAACCTAAGCTGGGCTATTGTTACTTCTTTGTGGTCGAATCTTTTTACACCCTTCTTTTGACTTTGTCTGTCTACAGGTTAAGAGGACACTTTCTCTATACTCCTTCCAGACACCATGAGTTTATTCTACTAAAAAAAGTGAGACTGTTTACATTCCATTTATATTTATATAGTCAATCACTGTACTCTGTCGTATTTTTATGATAGAAAACTGTATCAAGTAAACAAATATACAATCAAATATGTATTCATTAGAATAAAAAAAAACATTAATATGCTTATCTAGCGTCTATGGGAGGATTAAAGACCGAAATGGCCCTCAGATTTGTTCTGCATATTATTACAACCTATTTTGAAAACTAATATTATTAGCCTAGAGATAAGACAACTTGTATCTAACATGACGAAGCATCCTATACATTAATTTAGAAGAGAAAAGCATTTTTATGATTAAATATTATTATGTAATTGTGAGAAAATCATCCAATGAGCACATACCAGCTATGATTAGTTGTGCAGAACCTTGAGCAGAATCTTCATCATTGCGTGCTATGCACTGGTACATTCCTCTGTCCTCTCTTTGCACTGTTGTGATGTGTAAGACAGTTCTGCTAACAAGTACAACTCGACGAGATAAAACCAGATTTCTTTGATTTTTCACCCATTCTATTGAAGATATAGGATGTCCAGAAACAGTGCAATTGATAGTAACAGTAGATCCGGTGCTGACTTGTTGCATCGCAGGCCACATGCTAACTTTGAGTGGAGCTGAAAGAAATTTGAAAAATTAAATTAACATTTTAAAAATAAAACAGTGCGTAGTAAAAGATAACGCTGTTTGAACAGCATTTCCAATTTACTGTCTTTCGTGCTTAAAGGAATTCAAAGAAAACTGTTATGATGATTAATTTCAGACATTCCTAATTACTAGTTTTCTGCTAGTATACTATTTACCATGATTATATTTTTCCAAATTTGCCAGTTATACAGGGTGTTTCATCAAGACCTCCCAAAATGCACAGCTAGAATTCACGCTTGGAATACACAAAAATTCCGAAAGATCTGGAACTGTACGTCCGATAGTTTTCGAGATGAATGCGAAAGAAAGGTAGTAAGGAAAACACAACATTATTGGAAACACTATCATCCATATTTGCATATAGATTTATAGAAAGGATGACATTCAAAACTTCAACCACGTATATCGAGGAATATATGCGAGCCGTGGAATGGCTGACTGTATACGTTGCAGCAGCTTGGTGTCCACCAAAGTACACGTAACTTTAAGACAAGGAAGTCATTTTCTGTTGTAAAGTGGTTTTCATAGAGCAATTCCTTTAAATGGTCTCATGGGAAAACTCCAAAGGTATCAGATCCGGTGAGAATATCGGTCGAATAGGTATAGTTCTTCGGACATTTTTTATGTATTCCAAGCTAGGAATGTGACCGTGCAGAATTTTGACGGTATTAATTGGACATCCTGGATCATATGTACTGATTTTTTTAGATGGAAAATCAAATATTTGTGTGCGACTCCTAATCAACTTTGCATCCTTACTGCAATTTTTTTCTGGCAAGATGAATATAATAAAGAAATAATGACTGTTTGGGAGCAAGCAATGAGACTAAAGTAGTCATTTCAATTTTGATTTTGTAAAGCTATGTTTAAATATCGATGAAGCTGCTTTGAGAAAAAAAATTGCTTCAAGTTGAAACAGCTTTCTGTAAATATTCTAATGCGTTGATCTTCTTTTTAGTAGGAAAGATCTACTCATCTAAGCATCAGTTAAGAACATTAAATATCATTCATAAGAATTCTAATAAATCGAATATGATTATTCATTTGGCCCGAAGTGCGGTTTGAAATCCAACATTTGAAGCAAGGTTTCATTAATAAAATAAATTGAATTCTTTAGATAAATTCGAAGTTGCGGTTAATAAGAATAGCTAATATGCAAATACAGGCATCCATAAAAATATTTCAATCAACTAAAACCAGAATCAAACAGTTTAGCGAAAAATATATGTTTTTGTTTCAAAGCTCTCATGAAAATGAGGAATGAAACAAAAGTCCAAAAGTTTCAGCATACGTTTATCATTAGTTGAAGTATATTTCATGGCAATAGCTTGTAAAGTAACAAAGTCATACATAGTAAGTGGAGAAAAAATATCGTTTCGAGACTTATAGCTCTTCTGGGGAAATGTCCACTTGAGCTAATAATGAAGAATCTGCATTAATGTGTGTATGTTTCTCGCATTGGGGAAAAGCAATGATACTCAGATTCTGAATAACGTAGTCCTCCACTCAAGTATGGGCACATGGAAGCCCGAATCTTCAGTTTCGAATTTCTTTTATTATCTGTTTCAAACATTTCAAATTGCAAATCGAAAAGTGGCATCACACTGTATGGAATAAAATATTTTATCTCGAGCGAGCGAGGCTATCTATTGCAAATTCTAAAGATATTCTGTTCTTAAATATTTTTAGACCAAAAGAGTTACTCCCAATCGCTTTTCAACGTGTGCGCATGTGTTAATGAAAAAATAACCTCTTTGGGAGTAATATAAAATCTGAATGTTTTCAGATTTTTTTAACTTTTAAATTTGATTGAGTTAAATAAAAATTCATTTAATTCATGATATATCTAATTAAACATTTAATGCGTCTATAGAATTACAATATTCATCAATATGCTCTAAAATATTTCGCTAATCTTCCAGGGCCATCTTTATCGGCAATCTGCACTGATAAACCATACGAAAACTTAAAAACGCCCTTTTGGGCAATCGTTAAAATGTGAATTCCTTCAGATTTCTTAATGTCATTATTATCATTATTTGTTTCTTATACGCAAATTCATTAGCATTTTTATGCGTTAAATTTTTTATAAATTATCCATGGATTCCATAAATGAACATTCGTTAATTTCACAGCTTGTTGTGAAATTTACATTGTAACATAATTGGTAAAAAAAGAAAAGATTACAGATTAACAGACAGCCGGAAACTCGTGCTTGGCGCGCTTCCAGTAATCCAAACTCGAGGTTCTACACGCTTTAAAATTGGCTAAAGGTTAAGTAATGAAATAATTGATGGTAATGCACCACACTACTTTTCGATGAGTTGACATTACGGCTAGCAGTACAATTTATTTCCCTAACTAAAATAGAAATATAGATTGTATTACAGTAAGCTAATATATTAAAGTACATATTTAGATTTCCATGTTTAGAAATTTTAATAATAGGTCTGTTATAATTACATAAAACGTTTACATCAAGTCGATCTATAATTCACCTCCTTTAAAGAAATTAATTTTATTTTAGATAATTACTTCTCTTTACTATTAAATAAAATATAAGAATATTTAAGAATATAAGTGACTAATTCTTAATTCATTTTTGGAAAACAAACAATAACTGAGCCTGTTCTACAAAAATTTTAATTATTATTTCGTTGCTGTATAAGAATGCCTTAATGAAACAAAGAGAGTTTCCAAAATTTTTTTCAAGTAGAGTTACAGATTAAATTAATTATGAGGGTAGGTGTGTGATTAAATTGATATTTTCCTTATATTTGTTTCTTCTAGCCTGTCCCACGTATTGATAATACGGGCGGCTTGTGCTGACTAGGATGATCGGTGCTGTATCCTTATGATGATGTAATTAAATGACTCATTTATAACGACAAATTTGAGCAAATCTTAAATATCACATACTTTTCGACTATTGCTAAATATCTAGTTTTATTCGCTCAAAAGTCCCACATATGTACAAGAAACGAAATTCCTGAAAGCGGAAGAACTCTTACTTGCTTTCGAAATTTTTTAACTGAATTTCTTCTGCCAAACCAGACAAATCTAAAAAAAATTTGATTTATATTCTAAGTGCCATTTCCTTTCACACCTAGGCACTCGTCAAAATATTCATACGGTTTTATCTCTATTTATGCAGAATCACGTGGTTACTGTGTCACATGAATTATCTGGTTACAGGTAAAAACATAGCGGGTCAAAACGTCGAGGAGAAGACAACGCAAGGCGATAATCGTACAAAACATCGAAGGAGAAAAGAAAGCAAGCAGGAAACATCGCGTTCTAAACCATCGTGGTACAAAACATCATCATCGAAAATAAAACAGTCAAAAACTTCGCATTTTAAGAATATCGTCGACAAAAATATCGCAACAAAATATAAACTACCTACATTTCATGACATACAATGACGGTAAAAATTTTAAACGTTGTAAATGCATATTTGCATAATGATTTGTGAGTGCAAGACGGAATGAGGAATATTTTTACATTTATATATTTGAATTAACTAATAAATTCTTGCTGAAAAATTAAAAAGGATACTTGAGCAATTTAAAACTGAAAATAAGTAAGAATTAATGCGATTTATGGAAGATAAGAGAATTTTATAATTTGATAATCAATTAAAAAGTTATGATAAAAGTGACCACATGCAGTTGCGCATCATTCTTTTTCTAATCTTCGAATTTCCTTACATTTTGAACAACAATTTACTAGTTATTTAAGAAATATGAAATATAAAAATGGCACTCTTCTTCATTCCTTCTTGCGCTCACAAATCGTTATTATAATATGCAAATTTTTTAAAACCTCAAAAAGCATGCCTGGGATATTATCGTCATGCGATGGTTTGTAGGTACTTTATTTTTTGCCGCCATATTTTTGACTAAGAAGTTTTTAAACTACGAAGTTTATGAAATGCTTTGATGACGATGAACGATGTTTTAAAACTGCGATGGTTTCTCTTTGCTTTCTTTTCTCCCACTGTGTTTTATGCGACGGCGTTTTCGTTCGCGATGTGTACGGCGGACACCGCGTTATCTTTATAAAGTGATTATAAAGATAACGCCAGTTATTGATATATTAACTGTGATAAAATTTTTCTCCCTTATTATTGTGAGATCATAAGATGATAAAAGTTTAAAGAGCGGTCAGACCATGTCATGCTGTGTACGTGAAACCTACATTTCATGACATACAATGACAGCGCGACAGTGAACCCGCCACTTCGTCTTTAGCTCGAGAGCAGGATGTACGAATTTTTGTGTAATATGTTATGTTATGATAATTGTGTTAAAATATGGTGTGTGTGAATAAAGTTATGTTTAGCGAAGCGGAGTCATGTCTTTGAAGGATATAACACCGAGCCATAACCCTCACCCACAATAATATTTTTGTTGTGCTTCCTCTGCAATCAATATTTAAGCAATAAACAATGGCATTTGTTTATTGCTTAATATTGCATCAATATTTAAGAAATAAACAATGGCAATCAACAGTGGCATTTGAATGACGTTGTCTTTCTAAGTATATTTTCATGCACTTCTGATGCTGATTGAAGATTTCTGCTCCAGGAAAATTTTTATATATCCGTCTGCTATGTTAGGTGTGAGTTTAAATGCAAAGATCTATGAAAGACTGGGAAATCTAATTACTATTTCAATATGGTACAAACAGTGCGGGAAGGACTAACGGTCCTCCAGGCTTTATCACCCACGTTTTCCTACCACAAAGAGTTTGCAGTAATACGTTTTATGCAAGTAAATTAGAAACGAGTACTTAAGCTAAGGTCCGAGCTACTTCAGAAAGAGAGCACATTCTGCCTTTGGGACACGCATTTGCTATTAGTTAAAGCTTACTATTCTATGGTTGTACTTAACACGTGCCTACTAGTCTACGCCAGCGATCCTTAATAAGGGCCAACTATGCAAGTTTTATGTTGTGCAGCTTCGGC